CCTCCCCCGCCAGCCCCGGCAGCCGCCTCTCCCCGGGGAGCGCTGTCGGACAGGGGCCAGGGCATCACCGTCATGCCCGGGGGGGGGCAGAAGGGCAAGTTCACACCGCGGGAGGAACTATAAATCGACAAAAAGAAGAGGTCGTTAATGGCCTTGGTCACCTCCCGGCATCCTCTGTGCTCCATCCCACATCCCTGATGTCACCCCGCTCCCATCCCCGCATCCCGGCGGGCAGCGAGGAACCAAGCGAAAGGCGGCTAAAGAAACCTAAACCAACCCAAACGCCACCAGCTCCCCGGTTGGCCCACACCTGGAACCACGTAAAATAAAAGGAGCGACGGGGTCCGGGCTCCATCTGGGAAAGGATGAACCCCCCAAGGGGTTTCTCCAGGCCAGTTCCATAGGGAACAGCATCCGAGACCAGCGGGCAGCAGGAGGGGGTATCCCCCATGCCCGATGCCACCAGCATCACCCTGGCAATGTCATATTTATGTGTGTATATATACACATATATATATATAAAAATATTAAAAAGTATCTTTTTAATATATATTTTTCAAAGTATCTTTTATATATATCATAAAAGTACAAAGTATCATATATATAGTATATTTATACATAGTATCTTTTATTTATATATGCGCATAAAAGACACTAAATACTCCAAATACCAAAAGACACGTTATTAACCCGAGATAAACACAAAAGATACTAAAAGATATTCAATATCCATATTTAAAACCCGGATCCAGCCTGAGGGCAGCCCCACTTCTACCACCCTGAATTCAATTTAAAATCCAGCGTAACCCAACGTACAACCCCCTTCCCCCCCTTCGAGCAAATCTCCAGCGCCTTTAATTCTCTCGACGAAGCGATGCAAACCCTCCCCACGCTACGGCCGGAGAAAAATCTCTTCTTGCTCTTTAGGTTTCCTTAATTTATTTTATTTTTTTTTTTTTTAAATTAAGAGCTATTTTTGAATAGAGATATCAGACCAGGGAATGCCACGGGAGTAATTTTTTTCCGCCCCTCGCGCATATTTATAGAGGCGAAGAGGGGCCGGTGGCTTCTCCTGGCGACGCAACTGGTTTGCACGAGGATTTCGTCTCCCCTAATTAAGCATCTCATCGATGACAAGCGATTAAGGGAAGAAAAACATGGGCTGCCCCGTGGGGAGAAAAAAGGGCTCCTAAGTTTATCCCAAGCCTCAACGTCCCCAACTTTTGGGGGTTAGAAAACAAAAGGGTGGGGGAAAATAAAGAAATAAAGCCAAAACACACAGAAACGAGAACCGATGCTCAAGAGAGGAAACTTATTTATGGATAATTCCTATTGAAATAGGAAAAAATCCCACAGATGCCCTAAAACCAGCTCCAGCGAAGCTGCTCGGGCATTTTCATCGCTACCCCTCCAGCGCCCGCTCTCCGGGGCAAAACCACCCTAGTTTCGCCACTTACTAAAATAGTAATTACTACGATTATTTCTAATATCGCAGAGATTTCCAGCCCACGCTCTCTTCCCCCTCCCCGCTCTTCGCACGTCCCTCGCGTTCTTATTTCTCATCGCCGAAAATCATGGCAGAAGCAGAAATTAAAAGGCGCCTTTGCGATGGGGAACCCGAACATTTCGACGTTTCACTGGTGTGAAGACGTTAAATGGGGCTTCGCTCCTTATTAACTCATCATTTTTATCCAACCCTCGTGTGAAAGTCAGTATTGGGGCGGTTGGGCTTTACTCGCCGTATTTCACAACCCATCCTAATTATTTTTATTTTTTTCTGAGCGTCTTTCTTTCCCATTAATGGGGTTTTCAAAGATTTCAGCGGCGTATTTTTTAAGGGGCATGAGATGGTGACGCTTCCCACGCCGCCACGCTCCGCATATCAAATACTCTCGCAGGAGGGATTGCGTCACTTTAAGCAAAGGAAAAGTATACTCCTCTCCTGCCAAATTTAAAAATCCACTTAAAAAATTAATTTTAAATTTTTTGCAATGTTGGGGGATTAAAAAAAACAAACTCAAAAAGGGCAATATTTAGGTTTTTTTCTTTAATACTCCAAGGCACAATAGAGCATATACAAAGGAGGGGAGGGGGGAAACGACAAAAAAACCCCAATCAAAACACTGTTGGATCCTTCCTATAGGAGCCCAAACCATTTGCCTGGCAGCAGAATGGCTGATTTTTAACTGGTGAGAGGCAGTTTAAACCGGGCGGGGGAGCGGGCAGGATTCCCGCTCCTTCCCACCGCCCGCGTGCGTTTTAATTCCTGCCTTCGGGAAAAAAAACCCAACAACTCCCGGCGGCACCTCGAGGAAATCCCTTCCGGGAGGTGTTTTCCAGCCCGTTTCTTATCAAACTGGATTTTTAGGTGTATAAATCCATTATATTTGGTTACAAAAAGACCGCGCCACAGGTGAAGGCGGGCGCGGGCATCGGCACCTCCCGGTTCCCCATCCCCGTGACGCAGAAACGCCGGGGGGGGGACATGACACACACACGAGAGCCAAGTGGGGCTCGGGTTCCCCCCAACCCAATTAAAACACAGATTTATTGCAATTAACCGTGCCGGGGTGGATTTCACCCCCTGAAATCTCAGCGCCTCTCTGGGAATCGCCCACAACTACAAAAACCTTATATTTTTTTTTTTAGAAATTTAATGGTGGAAGGGGGGGGGGGGGGGGGGATAAAAACATGACCACGTGAGGCTCTGCTGTGTGCCAAAAATCACGTTGTAAAAATAAAATCTATAATCTACCGAAGCAAAGGCACAGCCCTCCCTTAACTGGATATATTAATATAAAGCAGAAGAGCAGAATATATTTTATTTTTTTAACCGCAAAAGCCAGCTATCAGCTTAAATTAGACCTCATTAATGTGAGGAAACTCGGGAGCCGAGCCGGAATAGAAAACTTGGGAGCTAGCTGAAAACAGCCCGACGTAAAATAAATCAGCGTTTCTTTCTGGGCTGTTTAAATGCCTTTTTTTTTTTTCCTCCCCTTTTCTTTTCTTTTTCAAACTGGGAAGGAAAAGCAGCAGCAGCACCTTCAGCTCGACGGAGAATTTAGGTAAAGATTAATTCCTTGTTTACATCCCCTTCGTACATGGTAAAGGTCAAGTCCCGCGTCCATACTATCTTCCCAAACTCCTAATTTCTGGCTCCATTGCTCTCAAAAAAAATCACCGTCGGACCCACCTAAGAGATTTACCTTAGAAATATTATAATTTTGTCGCTTGGCTTTCTTTTTTTTTGGCGGGGGGAGAGTTTTTAAGGTAAAAGAGCGTGTGATCCCTGACGAAGAAGAAATCCCGCTCCGGCACACGTGATGCCGGGCTCG